GAACGTGAACTGAACGTACTGTATTACTGTGAACGCGCGCTCTCTCAGTTTAACTTCGTTCAATGGGCTATATGCACGCATAAGTTCCGCATTTGACGCAAGGATGCTCGTCCATTTCCGGTTGTGGAGATTAAAGCGGAGGAGAACCGAGGAAAACGGGATTATGGCAGAATCTTCAAAATTTACCGTCCTCCCGTCTTTGAAACTAAACGTACATGCGTTTAGATGTAATTTTATATATAGTTATGTTTATTTAATATAATTTTAAAAAGAAGCATAAACACAACGAGGGATGTCTGTTTTGTCTGTGTTTGTGACTAACGTTTCTTTAGTATAACCATGGAGTATACAATTCAATATAAATTCTCGGTATTGCATTGGACTCTACGATCGGCGGAAATTATCGAGCATCCTTACACCTTCACCGGAAATACCGCCGTGCATAGAGCCCATAGGGTGCCAGATTTCTATAGAGCCTTCCAGGTGAAAACCCGGATAAAACGCACGTAAACAGGCCTTAATATGTAGCGAAAACACCCAATCTGGCAACACCAGCCACCAGTGTCGTCGTCGACAAAGCAACGCGCGAGGAGGCGTCATATGATCATAAATAAAATAATTGTCAAATAAAATAAAATAAAATAATACGTCAATAAAATAATTGTTTTCTGTGGTTGTATATGGGCTGTGGCTAGGGATGGGCAACGATTAATTGCGATTAATCACATCCAAAATAAAAGTTTGTGTTTACATAATATATGTTTGTGTAGTGTGTATATATATATAAATACCCACACATGCATGTATATATTTAAGAAATATGTGCATGTATATATTTTATATATATTTATTCACAATTAATATTATATACAAATATAAATATTTGATATATTAATAACACATTTTTATTAAATATATACATGCATGTGTGGGTATTTATATATACAAATTAATCATACACACTGCACACAAATATATTATGTAAACACAAACTTTTATTTTGGATGCGATTAATCGTTGCCCATCCCTAGCTGTGGCAATAATAAAAATAAAAAAAAGCTCGCAACATATGGAAAAAAGAACTATGAACTGTATTAGTTCATTTTAAAATGTGTGAACTGAACTGAAAGAACGTGGCACAAAACTTGACTTTTCTTAACCTTGGACACTCTTATTCACCGTTGACCCTTAAACATCTGCCTGCATCTTTGTCTCTACAGATGTGCCAGTGTTTCACACCAACACATTAGAGAGGAGAGCTCCAGTGCAGTCGCTCCCGCCGCAGGACGTGGACAGCGAGATGGTGGAAATACTCATCTGATCACACACATGTTGATAAAGAAGCAAAGCAGGTGAAGGAATCCTTCCCTCCGTTACACTTTCAGATCGAGATGTTTAGGAACAAACTCTTTACACAAAACAACACTTTTTTTTGTACAGTATTGTCTGGTGGATTTTCCCCCCTCCAGACCTCCGGACCAAATGTACTGCCATAATCTTTTACACCTATTGCACTACTTTCTATGTTTTTACTTATTTTTTGGGTATGCAATTTTGTTTTGTTGTGTATATGTACTAATTATACAAAGTGGCACTTGAGTATTTAGCAAAATGGTGAGTTGCCGGACAGTTGTTATGTGTAAATACTGCGAATCTGAATGTCGTAGGGCCTTTTTTATTCTAGGACGGCACGTTCTGTACGGTTCACAGCGCACTGTTTAAGAGCAATGGACCAACAAGAATTCACCTGTGTGTCCAGAAGCTCAGAAGTATGTGAAAGTATGAGTGACCCAACTGGTTTTGGGTTTGTCTGTGTGAGAGTCTGTAGTTTTTCCAATCATAACTAAGGTCTAGCATTCCAGTAAAGCTCCAGCAGCCACAAATGTGCCTTGGTTGAGGGGTACCACACACACACCGGACTTTCACAGTTTGGAAATCCTCCAAACCTCTCGTTTCAATGTGATCGTTACTCCGAATTCATTTTTTGATTGCTTTTGTGGTTGCAAGAGATTTAACTCTTGACCAAAGGAACCTGTAAAGACGACGCAAATGTTTTAAAGAAGGGCCAAGCAATGATCCTCGGGTTATTAAGAGGGTCTAAACCAGGGGTGTCCAATCCTGCTCCTGCGGAGTTCAGATCAAACCCCTATTAAAAAGGAGTAGTTCACTTTAAAAAAAAACTTTTGCTGATAATTTACTCACCCCCTGTGTCATCCAAGATGTCCATGTCTTTCTTTCTTCAATCGAAAAGAAATTAAGGTTTTTGGTGAAAACATTACAGGATTTTTCTCCATATAATGGACTTCAATGGGAACCAAACGGTTCAAGGTCCAAATGAGAGTTTCAATGCAGCTTCAAAGGGCTTTAAATGACACCAGACGATGAATAAGGGTCAAGAGTCATGACTCGAAAAAAGATTTGTTCATTTTGATGAACGAGTTGAACTGGAGAGTCATGAACGCGCATCATAGAACAGAGCAAGGCGAGCATTTGTGCTCATAAAACTTGAAAATGAGCGATCATTTCGCTTGATAAGACCCTTATTCATCGTCTGGTGGCGTTTAAAGCCCTTTTAAGCTGCACTGAAACTCTCATTTGGACCTTGAACCGTTTGGTTCCCATTGAAGTCCATTATATGGAGAAAAATTCTGGAATGTTTTCATCAAAAACCTTAATTTCTTTTCGACTGAAGAAAGAAAGACATGGACATCTTGGATGACATGGGGGCGAGTAAATTATCAGCAAAAGTTTTTTTAAAAGTGAACTACTCCTTTAAACACACCTCAACCAGAGAATGAAGTTGCAGGCAGGTGTGTTAAGGCAAGTTGGAGCGAAACTCCAACCCTCCAAGAGAGTTTGGACGGTGAACGTGATTTTACCAAGTACATCATGTTCCTGGATCAACATCTTTGTTGATCCTGAAACATCATTCTAATCAATCAATCAGATTTGAGGGACAATTTTACAGTTTGTCAAGTTTAGGCTTGCTAACAGTCAGGTGCTTCTACATCAGTGTTATTCAAATCATTTCCGTCTGATTAGGGATATGGTTCGGACTAAATTTACGAACAGGAATGTTGTTCCAGGATCAGCAAATCGAGGCTTTGGAGGCAGAGGGGGCGGGGCTTAAGTGGCATTTTGGGCGAATACATGAGTGTTTTATATCAAAATAAAGGTCTCAATGAGCTCTATCCAATGGTGCCAAAATACCTATCTGAGATCAAACTGTATTGAATAAAGCAACAAAAAGGCGTATCTGACGTATTTTACATTTTTTTTTTTATTTGAAAATGTTTTAGAACATGTTTATTGTGTTAATATGCCATATATTTTTTACTTAAATACTCATTTCATGTAAGTATGCCTGTGGTTGCAATGTTTGTGGTTTAAGGTTAATAATTCAGGTGATTGAAGTGTAGTCAAAATTTAGTTTTGTCTCTCCTGTAAAGTTTGGTAAAAGCCACTTACGCCCCTCTGGCTCCAAGCCCTCGAAACATGTGTATTCAGGAACATGACTTTCTTGGAGTTTGGACACCCCTGATCTTACCTAACTCAAGATTACACGGATGTGTAAATGAGATTCTTCCGTGAAATATCTGATTTGACTGCTTTCATTATTTTCTCATGTGCTTCATAGTTTGTGGCATTTCCTCCGAGTGACCTCTGGATCTAAATTTGTGAGAGATTTGTGACGTCAATGTGACGTCCGTTTTCGTCTGGAGCATGTCACATTCAGTGTCTGCACTTAACGTTCCCTGGCAGACGTTACAACAACATTCAGCTGATTTATTTGCGAATTCACTCGTGTTTCTCAGGTGCTTATACACAAACATGACCGTTAATACACAATGCTGTCCAGATGATGCGTGCGTTCGCTGGGGTTGTTTGGCGATTTTATAGATGATGAGCTCTAAAGCAGGTCATCATTTCAAAGAACTCAAAAGCATGTATGAATGACTACACTAATATTCATACTGACATTTAAAAATCCGTTAGCAATGTTATAGCACCGTTAGAGCCAATCACCTGAACCCTAAAGGTCATGTGACTAATGTGGAGCCATTATATGATGATTTCAGACGCACAAGGATAAAGAAATGCGATCCTGTTAGCAGTTTCACATTTACAGTTCAGTTTTTGGTTAAACGACCACATATATTTCCTTGAAATTTAGATTTCACATGGAATTGACTTCATTTACAAGTATTAAGTATTTGAGCACAGTCAGTCTCAGTTCAGCACGCTGTGTCTCGGTACTTGACATTTTGTACACAATCAATCTTTTATCTCATTTGCTTGAAATAGAAACTAGTTCCTTCCTGTCTTTCTGTTTTAAATAAAATCTCAGAACATTTCCGGTATTGTTAGATGACCCATTGTCACTGTTTCAGCAAGTTTGAAGAGCACTCATCTAATTTAGGCACAAACTAAGACAATGGACCTAAGAGTGGACTGAGACAAAGGTGGGACAAAATGCTGATACGTTTAAAATAGTACAGTGCCTACATACAGAAAAAGCTCAACTAAACCAATCTAGTCTTGATTTCATTAGCACATTTATCAGTTTGTTCCACCTCAAGCCTCAGCGTAGTAATCTAAACCAATCTTGATGGTCTTGCTACATTTGAGCTGGTGTCGTAGTCCATCTCAGGACGAATTACGAGGATGTGTTTTAGTATTATTGTTTTGTATAGCATCTACCCTTTTGTCCCATCAATGGGCATTTTACGTATTCTTTTTCGGTTTTCATTCATTTCATTACAAAATGTCACTCTAGTTGCTGCTTGACAATTCATTTGAATTAAATGGTATTCCCTTTTATCATTTTTCCATCTTATCTCATGCAGATGTTGTATAAGGCTTTACATATTTCATTTGGTTTATAGTCTAAAGCGTTTCAGTACCTTTTTTTATTTTTCCTTGGTTAATTTAATTTTTTAATAAACTGATCCAATTGCATCGTTTAGTTGTTATTTTTTGACTACATTTAGAGAATGAGCCATTGAGAAGAAAACATTTTTATTATTTTAAATATACATTCATCAGGCTAGGCAAATGTTAAAATGGATGAAGCTGCTATTCAAGTGCCTAATTGGAAGAAAACTAAATACAAACCCTCATATTTAGACTTTTCATAATGTGTAAAGCATGCAAAATCTCATTCACATAGTTATAAATCAAACTAGCTTCTACTAGTCTGATCAAAGAGCCAAAGAGAGATGGCATTACTGTGAGAAAAACATGCCAAAGTGACCCATGTCACAAGCATGATCATAATGGATGGTGGCAAACATGTATGCCTCTGTCCTCTATAGGAGCAGTTTACCAGAATCAGGATGAAACGAATGCATCCATGTAAATCACTGGAACACCGATATGTGCACAGTGTTGTAGTTCGCGGGCTCTTGTAGTGTTGTGAGGCGAGCCGTCATCTGCGCATCCACAGCCAGCCGTTGATCAGACAGGCCGACAGTAAGAGAGAGAAGAGCAGCAGCTCTGTCTGTCTGCGCTCGGTGTTCTGTCTCTCCAGACCTGCCACTCTCCTGCTCATCTTCACCACCTGAACCAATCAAAGAACACAATCAATGTGATGCACAATAATATATATCATACAGGGCCTATGTCGGACAAAAAAGCGGACCAAATCCAATCGTAAAAAATTAATTTTCTGTATCCACAAGTTTCCGAGGGACGCTCCTGTAAAAAATAAAGTGGGTGAAACTTCCGGTGAGGCGGCGGATGTAGCATTCCAATGGTGTTTTGTGTGTTAGTTAGCGAAGAGGCTAGCTGTTTTTCGGAGAGTTATTTTACTATTTAAAGACGCAAATCTTTATGAGAGATGTCGTTACGGAGCTCATGGACAACATGTGCTGTTCGCGGTTGTATGTATAACCGGACTAAACTAATTCAGTGGCTTAAACGTGATTGTTTTGAACATAAGCCGAAAACGAAATCAGAGTGATCCTGCCAACGACTGTAGTTTCCATCACCTCCCAAAAGACGACGAATCTTCCTGTGTACATTTGTTTAAATTCTTAATATTCTATAAACTCTATCAGCATGTGATTGGCTGTTCGCTACTGATGTTACACCTAAACTCAGGATCAAAGCCTGTGTTGACAGAATACCAATGTATTCAAGCAGCACATTCATTTATAATTTTGAATAAACTCCAAAGCACAATGACTAAGTGTGTATTTTTTATTTTAATTGTTTGTCAGCTCGCACAACCGTCTGTCACCATGCCTTGATGAGTATTGATTATTAATAATTTTATTATAATACTCCCAATCAACTACTGCGGAGGGTAAAGGCACTGTTATTTCACCCTTTTTAATTTGGTTGAGGTTGTGTTCCCACATCGTTAGCTAGTTTGGATCGCTATAACTTGAATGACTGTCAACTGTTGAATGAACGAGTGTCAAGCATGTCAAGTCACGCTTTGTTTACTTCGTTCGAACCGGAAAACGCCCACTTTTGACGCATGGCCTCATGGGCGTAGGAAACTTGTGGATAACAAGGAATTTATGTCTTGTGGTCCGTGTGAAGCTCCAGCACTGACCTGTCTGCGCAGCACCATCAACTCAACAGCAGTGCCGGTGTCCTCGTCAGGACTGAGCCAGAACTCCTGCGAGGCACTGTGGGACGGAGCGTGACGTTAACAAACGCTCTTCGACATCTTATATGAAACATACTGAACGCCCTGCCCTCCCTTCCATCAATGATAAAAGACTCATACAGCAGCGTCCCACTATCACAACCGCATGAGCCACTGTCACCTTGTCCTGCTCTGATCAGGTTGAACCTCCGCCGCCTGAGAGGGATGGTTTTCCGGGTAACCAAACCTTAAAACACAAGAGAGACACCAGGAACCACAGCAGTCCACATTGAACAAGATTTTGTGAACAAATCCATTTTAAAATGAGTTGAAAGCCGGAACTAAAAGCTCGAAGCTTTGTTAGTTGCTCAGGTAAAGCAATAGAGGGAATGCATTGACGTCACTTTCCCGAGTGGCAAAAGATCTGCTGCGTGACTGGATTTAATAGGGAAAAAAACGAACAATTTTATCAATTTAAACTAAATGTTGGACTCAATATGGTGTTCCTTACAACTTACTAAAGATCCAGTGATCCATAGATATTGACATGCTGCCAGGAATCGTGTTGCCTGACATTTATGTTTGCTTGATTTACGTAAACATAAAGCAAATTTGCCTGTGAACGCTTTATATAAATGGAATATAGGTAGGTCTAAATCCGAGTGATCACTTATATCAGTGTTGTATATATGAAGAGTTCAGATGCAAAAGCCTGAAATTTTGTTCTAGAATGACCATTTTTATCAAGCTTGTGTATTTAAGTTCAGTAATTTCACTTAAATGACAATTAATAAGTAATCTTCATTGCCATTTAAGTGAAATTACTGAACTTAAATATACAAGCTTGATAAAAATCATCATTAAAGAAGAAAATTTCAAATGACACTTTGAGGCTTTTGCATCTGAACTCTTCATATATAGCCTATATACAGTATATCATCATATCGTCCAGCCCTAAAATTTTATAGTTTTATTTTGGTCAGTGTTTAATAACAAACATCCAATAAATATTTAATTGATGAATTGTTAATATACTGTATATAACAATACAAAATATATAGGTATGGTTTTACGCTTAAATTCAGCATATTGACACACAATGATCCACCTTTCTCGGACTGGAGTCCAGTTGTTTCGATCCATTTGCTCCTCTTTCTATAGCAGTCTGTAAAAATATACCTCCGATTTTTTGTCAAATCTAATTGTACAGTCAATCGCAAAGCTCTTCCCCACTTTATATGTGTTGTGTTTGTTTTTCGCAGCATTCACGCTGACAACAAATACAGCCGCTCAGTCTTTTTGCCACTCGCTGTGAGTAACTGCAGGCACTCCGGTGTTCTGTCCATTTTTGCCGCCTTGTCGAAAAATGTAAACCGTAGCGCGAATTGATCACAGAATGCCGATTAAAGTCGTATGAAATACGATTATAATACAATTCTAAGTTATGAGTAGCTACTGTATACTGTAGACTACTGTTTTTATTTTTAAAACAGTGTGAAAAGTAAAAATTATCATAACATTTGTCAAAGTAACACCTTTCCTCATAGTAACTGAAACTTTCAGTTATTCTTTTTCAGCTGACCGTACAAATATTCATATGGTAGTAAGCATTTTTTAAAGGGAAATTATACATTATAACAGGAAAATGTACCTTTTGTTAAAAAAAACTGTGAGTCTGCACATGCGCATAACCGGCAAGTAGCAAATCTCGATGGGTAGCATGAATCGCCAGAACACCGACGGTGACGTCACGCGCATACCCTCTATACAAGTCAATCCAATCATGATGTGAATCTGCAGGTGCACCAACTCTGAAAGCCAGGCAGGAAACCGAAACAATGCAGTTCAATCAGAAACAACTAAACAGCATGGGTTCAAAGGGCAAAGCAATACGCCAGGTTAGCGGGAAGGGGGAAAGCTTGGCGTGCAGGATGAGGATCCGTGCGTCACCTGGAGGAGTACTTCTGCAGGAGTTTCTGGGACGCCTGCTGGCCCAGCTCCCTGGCGGCCTGTAGCATGCTCTGTGGGGACAGCAGGTTAGGCGGGATAGAGGGAAGCCCCGGGGGCTTTGGCGGGGCCGGGGACGGGTCTGTATGTCCAACACCGCGGCTATTGCGGACAGGGGTACTGACATAGAGGGACACCGCTGTTATTTAAAGACTGCTGTAATACGCAAACCTGACAGTCTTTATGTGGACGGGTTTGTGTCTCGTCGGGTAAAAACTGACCGAATGCAACAACCAATCTCTCCTGCCCTCTAGTGGATGTTTAGTGGTAGTGAGGCGTGTATATAATAAACACATACTGTAGTACTTCTCTGAAAATGTTCAATTAGGGAAGCGATAATGAAATATATTTAGGCCTGGTTTCGCAGACAGGGCTTAGATTAATTCTTAGTTCAATTAGGACATATAGATTTTATAAATGTCCCCTATAAAATAATATAAGATTGCTTTCAGTTAAAACAGCTCAACCATGCATTTTAGTCTGGGACTAGCATAAGTCTGAATCCAGGGGCTAAAAACTGCATTTGCTAATTCTTTTATAATTCTGTATACTGCTTTAATGAGCTCATGTTAATTGAGAGACTGTAATCTGTTAAACTGTAGGACCATCTAAAATGACTTAGCAAAGGCGAAAGTGGGGAATAAAACAGCGAAATGCTGACACTTGACTTAAAATCATGATATGGACAATAAAAATCAATGTAACATTATGTCAACGACCAATATGTATATCACTGTATTCGTTTACATATGAAGAGTTCAGATGCAAAAGCCTCTAAGTGCCATTTGAAATTTTCTTCTAGAATGATCATTTTTATCAAGCTTGTATATTTAAGTTCAGTGATTTCACTTATTACCTATAAATTGTTATTTAAGTGAAATTACTGAACTTAAATATACAAGTTTGACAAAAATCATCATTAAAGAAGAAAATTTCAAATGGCATTTAGAGGCTTTTGCATCTGAGCTCTTCATATAAACATTGAAAAACATAATTGTGCAAAAGCATTATACATTGTATATTATGTATGTAAATATGTATATTTAGAGATTTGTATTAAAAAAATCTATTGTACAATTGTGCATATATATATACACAGACAGACACACCAGTGTACTTTCAGTGTGGTCAATCATATTTGTCAGCTTCTTTGTATATGACAGATCACCATAACCCTTTAGGATTTGATTCCCACTAAGTGCTTTAGGAATGAGTTGGACTTACGGAGACTGGGAGCGCAGTGTTTGTCTGGAGTGTGTGGGGGTTCCAGGTGGGGTTCGACCGAAGCCCTGGTCACTATAAGACCTTCGCAGTGGACTCTGCGTGACATTACAAGAAATATCATCAAATGGACCTTTTTATGGATTCAGTCTGGCTGTGAGGTTAAGAGAGACTACCTGGACAGGCTCTCTCGTGAACGCGTCCCTGTCCCAGGACGCGCGATGCAGGTCCCACGATGATGATGCGTGTTTGGAGAAAAGAGGTCGTGGACTCATATCAGGAGCATCTGTTTTTGGAAAGGTTAGGAAAAATTAAGACAATATGTTTCTGAAAGAAGTCGCTCATGCTCACCACTTAACCTATGTAATTAAAAATAACAGTATCACTGTGAAATATTACAAATTAACTGTTTACTATTTTAATATATTTTAAAGGGGTCGTGAATTGAGAAATTGTCTTTGATCTTTTGAGATATAAGACGTCCTTTTACTATAAAACATCTTTTTTCACTTTATTAAATGGAATAAACTGAGTTTACATTCATATAATTCTGCTTAAACGAAACACCGCCAGTAATCTTTGTCAATTATAAAAGTTATAACTCAATTACGCATGCTTTATATATCTTGGCAGTGGCAAATAGTTTATGTAATATGCACAAATGTTTCAATTACTACTATGTAATGGGATTTATTTCAACATCGGAAGTTTAAAAACTATATCACACGTGTAATGAAGGGATGTTAAAAAATCATTTTAATATACAAAACTGTGTCCAAAACAAAACAAAAAAATATCCAATCATAGCATCATAGCAAAAGTCTTGAATGTGGGACGCCCATCAAAATGAAGTGCGTCAAATACATAGATATATAATAGCCTATTACTTCTAAATTATGTTTTAATTAAAAATATTGCTAAAATTACAAGTGAACCTTAAAGAACATTATACAATTAATTTTATTATTTTAAATAAGCCTTTAAAATGCAAAAAGCTGCATGTTCAGCATCATTACTCCAGTACTGAAATTATGCTGGTTTGATTCTCAATAGTTATTATCCTTGGTGCCCAATTATTAATAATGGTTCTTATCATTGAATGTTGAAAACAGTTTTTTCTGCTTACCATAACATTTGTAATACCCCTAACTTTTGATAAAGTTGTCAAACCACAGCTCCATAAATATTTTTTTAATTTTTATTGCATGCTCTATATTGCATAAGAACATACAATTGGTGAGAACATGCAATTAATAATTTGTGTTCTTGTGATTTGTATTTGAGCAATAAGAAAATACCTGTTAAGGCCAGTCTGTCTGGTATGTGCATGCTGTAGGCAGCAGACAGATCTTCCGGTTCGTGCGCGTGACGCGCTGGACCGACCCGCAGCCGCTCGGGCACGCGCATTCTCAAGCTGATGGCCTCAGTGAAGTCGCGCTCGCGCATCGCGGCGGGACCGTCACCAAAATATCCCGGTAAATCCATGACTAACGTTACCTTAATGCCAGTAAAGAGAATTAGACCAACCGCATGGCTCCACAACAAAAGTTAAGCTGGGTTAATACGTGAGCAAAACAAGGACACGGTCTACAATAGATTAACGTTACAATATAAATTTGTGGTAAGTAGCAAATATTCAAGATACAGGCAACTTGCTGTCTGTGACCCATGTGATAAGAAAAAAATAATTCACTCATCATGACCTACACAGTCTCCTTGATTGACGTCGATATTGGCTAACTTAAGCAGTTTAAATATAACTTACAGTTCATATTTCTAACAAAACACCGGTCCGAAATCCTAATATAAACATACACCTGTGGATTAGCTCGTGGGGCTAAATTCTTCAACTCGTAACGTTACATGGTAACGTTAACTTAATGTGTCCACGACTCGGTCTAAACGGTGTGGTTTCGGTTTTCCAGACAGGTTTTTGAACATGTACTAGCGACAAATTACATGCAGGTCATTTAAGTGTCTTTTTGGCTCAATATAAACATTTCTTTAAACTTTAAAACAAGCTGTTTAAACCAACCTTCATGCAGTTCACGGCGACTGACGTCTGTGACGTCGTGTTTCTGCGTGCAAAAGTGGGCGGTGCATATCTCGGTGTTAGCCAATCAGAAAACTATTATGTGTTTAGAGGCGGGACTACTGCTTGTCCGACTCTGGTCCAAACAAACCTGGTAGGAAACAAATCGCTGACATCTGCTCTAAATTACAGTGAATTAGCACATTCATTTTCTTCATTAAATAACAAACAGACAAATGCGTATAGACTATTCTCCAAAAACATCAGCGCTTGCTTTCACAAAAAGTAAATTGCCACTTTAATTATTGGACCATTCGGTTCTCAGAAGTAACATACATGTAAAATGTTGTTTTATCTCTTTTATTTAATAATTAGAGAGCATTTGGCCATAAATCCATAATTCTGAGCAAAATGTAAACATGTAGTGTTTCTCCGACAGTTAGCCTGTTAACTAAAATCACGTAAAATAAAATAGGCCTGAACGTATAAACGTAATATATAAATTTATTTAAGGTAAAGTTTATTTTTATTAGGCTAGTTTTTGTTTTTAATTAATGTCTATTTTTATATATACATAACAAAAATATATGCAGATATTTCAAGATAACAAAAAAATATGTAAATACAACTAATTTAATTATGAATACAAACATTACCTCATTGATAGTAAAATAACACCTTTTTCAAATCACAAATGTTTGATAAAGCAAATAAATTTACTGTTAATTTAATCTTAATTAAATGATGCATGTATGATGTTTGTGACAAAAACCAGGAAAACCAGGTCAATCTCATTGGAAGCTCTGTTAACATGCACGTTAGTGAAATCTTTAAAGAAAAAGGCAGATTTGTTATGGAAGAATCCAAAGACTTTTTTATTAAGTCAATGGTCTCTTAAACAACTAAAGCCCAATTAAAAGCACTAGAGAACAAGAAATTGTAATTTTATTTTGGTGAGATAGTTCATTGATAAATTAATGCTTTAAACAAGCCTGTGTGTCATGAATAAAAGTGAGCTCACAGAGCTGTATTTGAATTTCCCCCAATTCAAGCTTAAATATGACATACTGTATATGACTATGAATATATGAATATGAAATACTTCCAAAGCAAATTAATAATAATAATAAATAAATCTAGATTCATGCATCAGTTTACCATAGGCAATTGAATTTTGTGCGCAACAGATCTGATTATATGTATTGTATATTCACACAAACGGATATACGACTATATATATAATATCCATTTGGTTTAGAAATTGCCATGATTCCTAAGATGAAGGACATTTGACACAAGACATACACAAATGTACAATTTTATCATATAATTATGAATTACAATACCAGTAGTGCTTATGTTAATCAAATTTGTTTCAATTTAAATGCAAAATGAGTGCAACCAGCACAGATAATCAGAGCCACAGTGGAAATGATCAAAAGAAAAGAAAAAAATGCATATATGATTGAAAAATCATGCAGTTTGGCTTGAAAAACAACGGTGCATTATGTTTTGGTTTTGGATATACATATATATTTAGCATATAAACCCAAGCCCGTGGCTCCTGCGCCACATTCTCACTAGCGCAAACAAACGCTAGACAGAAACATGACTGCTGGCAACAGGCATAGATATACAAACACATTTACACACACACACACATAATCCCTGACGCATTTCTTCACGCGTACAGTTCTCTCTTGGCCTAAAATAAACACAAAGATAAATCACACTTGACATTATCTTCAGTTCTTGCTACCTCTTACAGTATTGTTCATTAGAAATCTGTTGCTTCATACGCCATCGTAACGTTCAGCCATGACTTAGTTGTAACTCTCAACACTTGTCATCCACTGTAGTGAGCTGTCTGTGCTATTCTGTTATCGGTCTGAAACTGAGCTGGGTGCTCCATCAGCGTGAAAGACAGGGCATCATGGGATTGATTGTTGCGGCTGGAGTAAGAGGCCCAGGAGACATGAGTCGAGCCTAAAGCCAAGTAAGCAGTTTGCAATTCATCCATTTTCAATGCGGAGAAGCAAGGTCAAACCTCACTTCCACAGTCCATCCGTCCAACACTGTGCTTGCTTATGTCCATGAACCCTTTGTTTGGATGAACCCTTTTTGAAATTAGCAGTTTATAATAATAGTGTTTTCAGCACAATTATATTAAGGCTCCATTAGTTTTAGTGCTTCGCCCAACAACCCATTGACCTACTTGTAATGTCCCTTTTGCATTTATATTGGATTGATACAGCGATATTCCCATCACAACACTAAAGGTGCAGTCACACTCACATCAGTGAAATTTTGTGGGCAAAACATGGTTCATTGTCTATTGTCAGTTGTGTAGTGATGTATGAAACACAGCTTACACCTGCTATTAAGAATCATTTTTGTCAATCCATTCATTTACATTTATTCGTTTAGCTGACGCGACTTACAATTGCTATATACGTATATCAGAGGTCGCACGCCTCTGGAGCAACTAGAGGTTAAAGGGGTAGTTCACTTTAAAAAAAAACTTTTGCTGATAATTTACTCACCCCCATGTCATCCAAGATGTCCATGTCTTTCTTTCTTCAGTTGAAAAAAAATTAACGTTTTTGATGAAAACATTCCAGGATTTTTCTCCATACAATGGACTTCAATGGGAACCAAACGGTTCAAGGTCCAAAAGACACTTTCAGTGCAAACTGCAAACTGATCAAAAGGCTTTAAACGATTCCAGACGATGAATAAGGGTCTTATCAAGCGAAACGATCGCTCATTTAAAAAATAAATAACAAAGTTTAAGTTTTATAAGCACAAATGGTAACCTTGCTCTGTTCTGTGATGCGCGTTCGTGACTCTCCAGTTCGGACTCGTTCATCAAAATGAACAAATCTTTTTCTGAGTCAATTTCGTTCGTTGAATTGAATGAAAATTAGTTCATTTTGATAAACGTGTTCGAACAGGAGAGTCACGAATGCGTATAACAGAACAGAGCAAGGCGAGCATTTGTGCTTATAAAACTTAAACTTTGTTATTTATTTATTAAATGAGCGATCGTTTCGCTTGATAAGACCCTTATTAATCGTCTGGAATCATTTAAAGCCCTTTGAACAGTTTGCGGTTTGCACCGAAACTGTCTTTTGGACCTTGAACCGTTTGGTTCCCATTGAAGTCCATTATATGGAGAAAAATCCTGGAGTGTTTTCATCAAAATTGGTGTCTGACAGTGGATTCGAACCTGGGCCTCTCACACCAAAGGCATGTGCCTTATCCACTGCGCCATCACCAGATTCACCACGCCACAAGTGGATGACGCTAAATACAGATGTAAACCTTTTGACCACTTACAGAGGAAACGTCCAAAAGAACATTCGACATTTGAAATATGTAAATTACGCGAGGTTATTTCATCCATTAGATTGAAAGATCTGAAAAGGCACATAAATGTACCTGCCCATAGACCCTCCCCTCGAAGAAATCAGGACAGAAGTGGTTGAAAGTGGATAAAAGACACCAGATTAAAACACAAGGTGTAAACGGGAAAACGTCTCCCTCGCCTACTTGTGATCCGATAGACCAAACGCATCTTAATACCAGGTGTAAACAGGGCTACTGAAGTCACTTTAAAAGCAGCTTTCTGTCAGTCAACGCTGTGAATCTTGAGTGACCATCTTGAATATGAAAATCTGACTAGAGAAATCTTTGCGATATTGGATTTTGCCCACAACATCGGTAAATGTGACCGTACCTTAAGCCAAATATCCCGTTCGCTCAAAGTTGGCAGTGTGAGAGATTATTTACAAACTTACTGCAACGGCAGCAGTTCATTGGCTTAAACCTGAGCTGGAAAACATGATTCAGCTGCATGTTTGGTCGACTAGGTAGAGCACAAGGGGGAAAACGAGCAGTGAGAACAAGCAGCATTATAGTACAGTATAGCACCTGGTGATGTCAAACGCCACAGAGAGCTTTGTACAAAATCACACAGTTTTTACGCTGTTATAAAAAAAAAGAGTAATAAAACACAATGTAAACAGTCTGAGAATGACGGGGAGAACTACAAAAAACAAGAAACCGAGGGCCTGGAATGTTGTATTATCCAAAGATTGGACCCCAAACACAGTTTTTGTGCATTTGTGTCTTGTGATTGTGTGAGCACAGCGTTTGAGGTAAAAATCTCGCGATAAGCATAAAATCACAAGACGATTTGATTGACTACTCTTCTTGTTTCTAAGGCCTGCTTCCACACACATTCCTATGTGAATTTCTGTGCATGTGTCTGTAAACAATCGAATTGTGTGCATCCGTGAGAGTGCGTGGCGTGATCGTAACGTATGTTGTATTTTGCATTTGTTTTGTGTACACATTACTAATTCTGACGTTGGTATGGATCAGAGATACTGCTGGTATAAGATTTCACAGGGCTTAGTATACTTAAGGGAATCTATGAAATCACGACTTTATGAACACAAGACGCACACGCGCTCTAGAAATATTCGGTGTGTCTGAACATTCCTACGACACACCAATTAGATTTGGCACATCCTTTCGTTGAAGCCCGACGCGATATACCTGGATCTGTACATTTTCTTTGTCTGAAGTGTCAATGGTTGTGGTGTGTGAGCCGTTGAAGTAGATTGAGAAGATTGTGACCCTTTTGAGACGTTTACCAGTGCGGTCCACGAACCGATCAACGACACAAGGCGACCGTCCTAACATTTGGTTACCGCTATATGTGTGCTTGTTCATGAAAGCTCTCATTTTTCGAGCACAATCTCCTCATATTTGGGCGGAGGATCGCTGTAGGGGGCTGTCGTCTCATCGCTGCTGCTCTCTAAGTGGCCGGTGACTTCCTCGTAGGATGGCGGCGGGGTCGCCCCGGACAGATGGGACGCCACTGACAGCGACGTGTCTTGTACGTACAGGGAGCGATTGTTCTGCGAATGGCCGGCGTGATGATGGACGTCTGAAGCCCCGCCTCTCTCGGGGCAGCTGACCACCACGCTGGGCCTGTCGTTGGCGTGAGAGTTCTCGGAGTGCGCGGGAGGTTCGCGGTGCACCAGGATGCGCGGGAGGCTGCGGGCGTTCCGGTTGGCCAGGTAGCGGTTCTGGGTGTAGGCCGGACGCCGGCGCGTGGCTTTCTGCAGTTGACAGCGCCACAGGAGGAAGAGCACGATGATGATGAGAAGGGCCACGCCCAGAAGGGGCACCACCATGTACACGGTGTCCGGGCGCTCCGATTCAGCATTGCTGTTCACTGTGTAGATGCTGCGGTTTTTCCAGAACTCCATCTGTGTGAATGAAGGGATAGCCACTTTTACACATTTTTAAAGGGATAGTTCACTTTGAAATAAATTTTTGATATGTTTTATCTTACCTCAAGGGCATCCAAGATGTAGGTGTCTTTGTTTGCGCAGTAGTTTCAATTTTGATATTTTTAGGTCAAACCGTTCTTGTCTGTCAGCTGCACAATTAATCGAATTTGTAATCGCGATTACAATTATGGATGCCACAATTATGTAATCGTTCAAAGGCACAATTAAAAAAAGTCCACTTATATTATTCTGTGTGCTTAAAATGTGTTTTTTTTTTATTTACAGCTTATCTTAAAGGAGTAGTTCACTTTTGAAAAAACTTTTGCTGATAATTTACTCACCCCCATGTCATCCAAGATGTCCATGTCTGTCTTTCCTCAGTCGAAAAGAAATTAAGGTTTTTGATGAAAACATTCCAGGATTTTTCTCCTTATAATGGACTTCCATGGGAACCGGATGGTTCAAGGTCCAAAAGACAGTTAATAACTGTTTCAGATGCGGCTTCAAATGTCTTTAAACGACACCAGACGATGAATAAGGGTCTTATCGTGCGAAACGATCGGTTATTTCAAAACTTATTCCAAAAATGTAACTTTTCTAAGGACAAATGCTAGCCTTGCTCTATTCTGTGAGGCGCATTTGTAACGTCACGTAATACGTAATTACGTTCAAAAGGTCACGGGCGACGTAGCCGGAAGTACAGAATCAAAATCGTCCGACATCGTTGTTTTACCTTTTAATTCCTGTAATTTAATTTTTGTAAACGGCGTTTGAGTTAGTTTTCACTTTCAACCTATGCGTTCAACTTGTAAACACTCTGACTCTGTACTTCTGGCTACGTCGCCCGTGACCTTTTGAACGTAATTACGTATTACGTGACGTTGCAAACGCGCCTCACAGAATGGAAAAAGGCTAGCATTTGTCCTTAGAAATGTTACATTTTTGGAAAAAGCATTGAAATAACCGATCGTTTCGCATGATAAGACCCTTATTCATCGTCTGGTGTCGTTTAAAGACATTTGAAGCTGCATCTGAAACTGTTATTAACACTATCTTTTGGACCTGAACCATCCGGTTCCCATTGAAGTCCATTATATGGAGAAAAATCCTGGAATGTTTTCATCAAAAACCTTAATTTCTTTTCGACTGAGGAAAGAAAGACATCGACATCTTGGATGACATGGGGGTGAGTAAATTATCAGCAAATGTTTTTTCAAAAGTGAACTAATCCTTTAAGGGTTTTTTCCCCATTGTTTTAATTTTAGTTAGTGTAACCAGGGTTCCCACACCTTGGTTAGCTTCAAATTCAAGGACCTTTCAAGGACTTTCCAGGTCCAATACTCTCAAATTCAAGAACTTAATGTGGGACACATGTGTTGTGTCCAATAACAAACGTTGGCGCGTGTGAACGTCATGGCAACGTACAACACAAAGTACCTCACGCAGGAAACACAACATAATGCGTAAATGTGCGTAACTAACGTAAATGAAGAAAGCTAGTATGAATACGCCACGAAGTGTTGGCGAAATAACACATTAACGGACTGGAGGGAATAATATGGATTTTTTTCCAGAAAATGTTTTGCACAAAATAAATTCAAGTACTTTTAAGGCCATTTATCTATATATGTCTATTTTCAAAGACTTTCCAGGGCCTTGATTTTTATTTTTTCAGATTCACAAACTTTCAAGGATTTCAAGGACCCGTGGGAACCCTGTAATTAGCATTAAAGCAACACTATCTAACATTGTTTACTTAAAATAATGTTTCCAAAATCTTATCAGTGGTTCATCAAGTCGTAACAGGGTGAAAGGCACTCCTGCCGTCGCATGACGGGGTCTGTATCACTTTTACTGGCACTATGTAACTTCGGGGTTCGGGTGGGAACCCGACCACAAAAAGAACTACAAAATTCGACTGCTTTACATCAAGCACTACAATAGTCATTATTTCATCTTTCTTCATTTCTGATGTCGCAATACATCATCCTTTCATGAAATCATACTCTACCTTGACTGTGGACATCGTTCATTCTAAAGTCGGTGCTGGATAAACAGCGAGCGTGCGTGCGACGGTACGCTAAATTATTTACGACAGCGGCAATGGACAATTTCGTTTCCAACCAGTAGGGCGACCACTGAGGAAAAGTTTGGTGTTATTTTAAACCATAGAAAACCATTGAAAGTTTTTCAGGAGTTTTCAGCCGTTTTATTTTGATATAACAATTTGCATGCAGTCACTTCGAACAATGGCATAAAGCTGTTCAAAACATTATTCAATGTAAATTGTGCTAATCGTAATTAATAATCGCAATTATAATTTCAAGGCAATAATCAACAATTAGGATTTTTGTCATAATCATGCAGCCCTATGTCAGCCATATACTCGTTTCGTGTCTTAGGCCATCAATGTGTACTTACAATTACGAGTCATTAAATCATGTTTAATTTGGACTTCTCTGTGCATGCTCTTTGAGGTGGTGACCATAGACCTCCATTATATGACTGACAGACAAGAACGGTTTGACCTAAAAATATCAAAATTAAAACTACTGCGGAAACAAAGACACCTACATCTTGGATGCCCTTGAGGTAAGATAAAACATAAAAAAACACAGGAGATTGAATTGTACAAAGCTTTTGCTAGTAAAGACAGGATTTACCGTTTGCTCCTTATTTTCAAACACTTCGTTGGCCTCCTCAAAGCTGCAGCTCTCTTCGGCACATTCCCTCTCGATGTTGCCCGGCCGGAGCTCCTCCAGGAAACCATTATCCCGAGGAAAACGTTTGAGGAGAGAGTTTGCATCCTTGCCATCTAGAAACGCTGAGACATTAAAAGACATCTGTATGTTTTAGCTTCTGGGAGCAAAGGTAGAAAAAATGGTATATGTAGTAGAGCCCGACCGATAAAGGATTTTGAAGGCCGATACCGATACAAATATTTTTGGGGGTTTTTAAAATCCGATATTCCGATATATCGGCTGATATTTTATTTATTTATTTATTTATTTATTTTTTAAACTGGACATGATAGTCACAAATTTTGTCATGCTTATTTGAGTTAAGAGAACTGATGCGGATGTTCTTTTAATTGTTTTTCAAGCAATGTATGTATCGTGACCAACTCAACGAGTGTTGCCAACAGTGCCCTCTGGTGGACAAACTATAAAACTCCAACACTCATGACATGGTTCAAGCTTGTTTCGTCCGTTTTTATTTTATTTTTGAAATATTCGTTTATCGGCCGTTATAACTGCTGATACCGATAGTTTGGAAAATGCCTAATATCGGCCGATATATCGGTCTGGCTCTAAAATGTAGTTTACTTAAGTTTTCAAGTTCATGCCTTTGCCGATGGATAAGGCTTGTCAAATACATAAAATGTTATGCCTTTCCCATAAAATGTGCTATTACTTATATTTAAAAAAAAATTTTCTCATTAATCATTCCATTTATTTTCCATCAATCAAACAGTCCTACATACAACACCAGAGAGAAGTCAAGAAAGAATGACATGGACATCTTGGATGACATGGGGGTGAGTAAATTATCTGCAAAAGTGAACTACTCCTTTCAGAAGAGCAACAGGAACCCAAAGAGCTTTGCTATTACATCAAGGTTTTGTGTCCTTTAACAACATGTTCGGTTCTTGAGGCCTAGGAAAGTTCCTGTGAAAGCTTTTGATCGTGGAACAACATTCCTGTTCAAAAATACAGTCCAAACCATAAACCCTACCCATAAACCTATCCCTACCCATAAATTATCCCTAAAACCAGGGGGAAATGACAGGTGAATAACAACGATGTAGAATAACTGGTTGTAAACCTTAAATTAACATAAACTTGACATGAACTGTAAACTTGTGCCTCAAATCTGAACGTTGTTCCAGGATCAACATGTTTGAACATGTTGCACTTGGTGAAATCAGGTTTTTGCTCAAGGGCTACTGGGCTATTTTTAGATCAGACCAATCTGAATGGACCTTATCAGTGTCTCAAGATGAAGTTGTTGAAATTTGGCCCTTACCTGCTGCCATACTACCACAAGAGAACTCAATCTGAAGTATTTTGACCTGGACAGAAGAAAAGATGCAATTAAAGCGTTGAAAAAAAAGTTATCTTACGTGCATACCTGTTGTTATTCATCATAATTGGCTTTGCTCACAATATTCTAAAATATCACATAAACAGAAGACCACTTTCTGATATCTCACTATATAAATCTACTATAAACTCTTGCATGTCTATATGCTGATGGGGGAGGGGGTAGGGGCGGGGGAGGAGGTTCCCATAGTAACGGAGCGGGTAGATAGAGAGATGCGCGAGCTAAATTTATATCACTCGTGCTCGCGCTCACTCCTTAACGAATTCATTTAATTCGAGTTAATATCGCTTTGTCACATACGAAAAATATCAGCACAACGTAATTTTATCTTTAACATGGTTTTGAAACCGCGTCAAATATAAAAAACATAATAACACAACTAAGAGAAATGCAAAGCATAGCCTACTTAAAATGCTAGATGCAAAATAGATTTTCTTATTTATTTAAAAGTGCAAAGGTGTTAATGAAAATATTGACAAAACAATTCGCTGTAATTACATTACTAAAGCCAGTCTTAAAAGCAAATAGATTTCTTAAAAGCAAATAAAATATTAATAAGAGACACATATTCAGTTTGACTGACTGTAGTCCTTAGAGGGGATCTCTGTGTGATTAAAGAGGTTTATTTATAGCGATATTTTTAGTTGCCATGGAACGAAAGAAAATAACGTGTACATTTGTAACTCGGGAGGGGGAGACGCAAAATAATAATAAAGCCTACCTTCCAGGCTGTAGCAATTGCTAGTCCATTCCATCCCTGTTTCCAACGAGGGAGCAGAACACACATGAGTCATGGATGTCTTTTGATTGACATGCGGATGGGCCAATAGGAGTCACGGATTCCCCATGATTGTCCAATGAAATTCCACTGTTGATTTCGTACACGCGAAGTCGTACTTCTAAACTGGGTAGTGTAGTATGTGCGCATGTATACAGTCCTCCGAAATAGTTTCAAGAAACCGTTGCGTATTTTTGCCCAGACATTAATGTTTTATTCTCATAGTCATGAACGCGGAGGGCAAACAAGTGATATTTTTATTAGAGAAAGAGCATGATATCGGGATAGTCGAGACTCAGGGGTCCCCGTTTGTTGCCACGCCTTGTATTAAAAGACAGCATTACCCATAATGCCGAACCCTTTCTTTTACTGTCTATGTGCCGAACCGCTGTTCTTTAACTGTAGCCGCTTGTGATTTGATGGAGCCGTGTATGGCAGGCTGACTTGGCATATAAAACTATGGTTTGATTATCCATAAATATATTTTACAAAGTTGCATTTTTTTATTATTATTATTATTATTATTATTATAGCTAGAGATCCTGCTGTTTGTTTGTTTTTTTTAGTGATGTGCACCAGTCCGTTATTATTATTATTTTTAATTATGGCATATTTCAGAAGACATGAATACTAATGAATACTAGCACAATTTAATCCACAGCATGCAACATTATCCTACTTTATGATATAGCATAAAACAAAACATTTGCAGTCCTTTTTCTCACTTTTACACAGGCTATTAATTCACAGGCATTTGAATTACTTCTTTATAAAGCAGTTTAAACATATATTACCCAAACATACAGGACCTTTATTATACAATTATTAAACAAAATGGCAGATGGCAACATTCTGTTGAAGGGTTGGTTAATAAAATGTTTTGTTGTATTGTGACTCGGAAAAAGATATGTTCATTTTCATGAATGAGTTCGAACAGGAGAGTCATGAACGCACATCGCAGTATTTGAGCTTATAAAACTAAAACTTTGTTATTATTTTTTTAAATGAGCGATCGTTTTCCTTGATAAGACCCTTGTTCATCGCCTGGAATCATTTAAATCCCTTTGAACAGTTTGCAGTTTGCACTGAAAGTGTCTTTTGGACCTTGAACTGTTTGGTTCCCATTGAAGTCCATTAAATGGAGAAAAATCCTGGAATGTTTTCATCAAAAACCTTAATTTCTTTTCGACTGAAGAAAGAATGACGTGGACATCTTGGATGACATGGGGGTGAGTAAACTATCAGCAAAAGTTTTTTTAAAAGTGAACTCCTTTAAGTGTCACAAAACATTACATTCAGTTTGCGCTTAAGTTTATTCCTTTAAAGTAAATTATTTCAATACTCATTTTAAAACATTCAAAGGGTTTGCATGCTTTTATCATGTCATTCCATAACACTTTTTAATGCAATTTATTATTAGTCGATAAGCACTTTTGGGCAGGTCCTGAAAAAGATTTGTCAGGCGAAATGAAAGCTAGAAAACTGATGTTTTTAATTTGTAGTGAACAAACATATGCAAACCGTGGCTTTTTCCCCTGCCAAAAGGTTCTCCAATAAGAAACCGCTTTTTCTCCTATACAATCTAAACGATGCTGGGTTGTTTTAACCCAAATTTGGGTCAAATATGGACAAACCCAAATGTCAACTTTCACTTTCAACTGTACATTTTTTACCCAACATTTGGGTTTGTCCATATTTGACCCAAATTTGGGTTGAAACAACCCAGCATATTTTTTTCGAGTGTATATCTACTCATAGATAAAGCAAGGTCTCTGTTGACTCTGGGACTTTACAGGAAGAGTCCAATCTTGAACATCAGACATTCTTTGGAGGACATTGTCACTGTGGACAGTGCCCTTTATCAAAGCTCTTTTGTTTGAAACGTGGACAAACAGCAGATCCCCTTCAAGTCAACAGATAGTGTCAGACATCAAAGAACGCGAGCGAGTGCAAAAAAAGAAAGCACAGATCCCAAACAGACAAGGTTTGCACTCATTTAAATAGATTTTATTATTATAGTCAAAAGTACAAAAGTAGAAAAATATGCCATAAATACATATATACATTAAAGTACATAAATCATAAGTTAGGGATGGGTAATAGAATACAAATAGAATTTTATATACAAAAGAAGGTAAGAATCCTGAGATCGATCTAAAACGACACTTCCCAATGTGGGAATGCATTTTCTCTGTTCCTAACAGGAAAAACATTTCTCTAGTGTTTCCTGCATAGAACAATCAGTGAAATCATTCTGCTTGTGCTTTAGATACTCATAAGACGGGACCATGTCCATGCACTGAATTATTGATGGCACGACTTCTCTAATAGAGCGCGATCCAGTGTCTATGTTAAATTTATGAACTTTCCCTCGGCATAAAGTCACATTTGCAGAGACGGCGGGTGATGCTGAACGCTCAGTTGTAACTGGTGAAGTGACTGTTTAGTTTAAGACACTCCTCGTCTTCGCTGTCGTCATCTTCATCACAGCTGTCCTCCTCCTCCTCCTCGCTGTCTGACTCATCGTAGAAGTTAATGGTGGCCTGCACTGGGAAATTTCTGAGCAGGGACTCGCCATCGCTGAAGAGATAGTCAAAGGATTTCGATCTGGGCCAGTACAGCCTAATGTGTGAAGAGATACATTGGTAAATACACTTGTTTCACGTTTAGAAATTGCTTACATTTAATTACAAAGAAGCTGTTTTATATCAGCTATATAAGGCAATTTTTTAACTTTCAAAACATTTTTTATACACGATTCAACTCATTTTTTAAGCCAGTTTAATGTAATTTAAAGGAGTAGTTCACTTTAAAAACAACTTTTGCTGATAATTTACTCACCCCCATGTCATCCAAGATGTCCACGTCATTCCTTCTTCAGTCGAAAAGAAATGAAGGTTTTTGATGAAAACATTCCAGGATTTTTTTTCATATAATGGACTTCATTGGGGACCAAATGGTTCAAGGTCCAAATGACCGTTTCAGTGCAAACTGCAAACTGTTCAAAGGGCTTTAAACGATTCCAGACGATGAATAAGGGTCTTATCAAGCGAAACAATCGCTCATTTAAAAAAAAAAAGTTTAAGTTTTAAAAGCACAAATGCTCTGTTCTGTGACTCTCCTGTTCGAACTCGTTCATCAAAATGAATCAATCTCAATTCATTCATGTCGTTCGTTGAATGAACCAAATGACTTGAAAAAAAAGATTAGTTCATTTTGATAAACGAGTCACACAGTACAGAGCAAGACGAACGTTTGTGCTTATAAAACTTAAACTTTGTTATTTATTTATTAAATGAGCGATCGTTTCGCTAGATAAGACCCTTATTCATCGTCTGGAATCGTTTAAAGCCCTTTGAACAGTTTGCGGTTTGCACTGAAAACCGTTTGGTTCCCAATGAAGTCCATTATATGGAGAAAAATCCTGGAATGTTTTCATCAAAAACCTTCATTTCTTTTCGACTGAAGAAAGAAAGACGTGGACATCTTGGATGACATGGGGGTGAGTAAATTATCTGCAAAAGTTTTTTTTAAAAGTGAACTATACTCCTTTAAGTTGAAATGACTTAAACATCCAAGTTGATTATCTAAATATTTAACTAAAGTGAAAATATGCATTTTTCAGCATGGTAAAATAAGCCTCGTTTGGAACAGATTAGGGCTAAAAGAAAATCGTGTTACAAAACAAAACCATTGCTCAAGCAAAATGAAATGTGCACTGACCTGACAGGGTGCTGGAAAGATTGCATCTTGCCATCTGTTGTAGTGTTACTGGGCACTTCTGGCCTGGAGTAAGGCTGGAAAGAGTGAGAAAAGACGTGTAAGACCGCATGCCCCAAAAAAACAACTCAAACAATGCTTCCTGTCCAGTGTTTACGAGGTGATATCACTGCCAGCTTCGTGGGTGTATAACACCCTGGGCAGGATGCGAAAGCTGTGACATGGAGGGTGTCAGGCTAAAGTGTTTGTGGGAAACTGGCTCCAACTCCCTTTCCCAAACCTAACTAGAGGTGTCTGCTTAAATCTTGGCAAGCGAGTTAGCGCTTGCTGTTTTCCCCTACACCTCGTCGCTGGGCACGGACTCAGTGTTCACACTCAGACAGTGGTGCCATATGGCCGAGTGTCTCAGCGCTAGAGCTGCTCTCGGTTTGCCTTTGCAATGAAACAGCTCCACGGTCACACCTTCTGCTAATGCTCACCACATGCCTGTCTGTCACCTTAAAGCTACGTGATGCGGCTTTAAAAAAAAAAAAAAAAAAAAAATTGCACATTTTTTTTTATCACACATTAGTCAAATCAGCTGTTCAGATAACATTTATTTTAAGTTTATTTACTCCTTTATTGTATTAACTTAAAGGCAACCAAGCAGCTAACTTAGCTACTTTTTTAAGTTAAACCAACAATATATTATTATTTTTTTACAGCGTAATAAATAGCACTGTGGTGGCAGGAGTTCATTACGGTACCATGTGTTTAATAACATTCCTAAACAGATGGAAATTCCATTGAAATATTAGGATTGCAGCACTTGGTGGAAAAACTTACACAAGCCAGCTTGGTTTTCCGGCATTCAATTTGAGCATCTTTTCTGGTCACGAGCCACGGTCTCCACAGGGAAGCTGGGCTGTGGATTGAATATGATAGTACTATTTTAGCTGTGCATTTAACAGTCAGCAATTCAATATAGAATAGAATAGAATAGAATAGAATAGAATAGAATAGAATGCTCACCTGCTGGACTGCTGGATCTTAGTGTTCATAGTATTGGAAAGAGGAGCGGCAAAGCACACAGAATTCATCTTTCTCTGGTGATAGTCCCAAATAGTCCTGTTTTTGGAAGATCTCCGAGCGATGTGCGGTGTGGATGAGTCGCAGTGAATGAATAAAGGAGATTCGCACTCGGGGTTTATATGGAGCTGGTGATGCAGGGGCGGGGCTGGGCGATGGTGCCGATGATGATGCCAAATGATCGCGGGTTGTTTTGAGAGGGGGTTTGGTGCTGTTTGCCAAAT